ATGTTTTTCTGTTGATGCATGTACGTTGGATTTAAACATGTACAGTGTGGAGGCTCTGCCATGTACTGTATTAAGGGCAGTCAAATGAGCTCCCAAATGTCCAAAACCGTCTGGCAAGGGGGGTGCTGGTTGGCATTTTCTGTTTTTAAGCATCAGCAACTTTGTCTCTATGTTCTTTCATGCTCCAGTACAAGTACAAGATGAGTCTCTGAATTGCTTTGACGTATTGTAGCCTGAGTTGCAAACCCGCATACAGCAAACGGATACCAGTCTGAGGCAGTAGCGGGTTTAGAAAGTTTAGCCAGACTGAGGGCACAGTAAAGCAACTATAGCTGTAATTCACTGTGCATTATTAATAGTTACATTGTTTATTCTGTATAATAATGAATACCAAGTAAACGACTTTATATATTCTAATATGAAATAAGATCAATAAATAGCTGCTACTCCATATAGCCTATAGCCATGGAGAGATTATATGCCCGCGGACACAGACATGTAAAAGACACCCAGACTGACAGACTTTGCTGTCATTTTGCATCTCTGCGTAGTTTTGTTTTGTGTATTTATGTTCATTTGACTTTCCAACAATAAATGTTAATCACTTCATACAGAGGCTCCGGTCCTGTATCCAGCGGGCCTGTGCAGTAAGATATCCATGATACGAACAAGCCTCTCGACTTCTGACTCTGGTAGGGGCGGCCAATCAGACTCCTGGGGGGGGCCTGGATACTGCTCTGGTTCCCGCCCCTGGTCTGAGGCAAATGAGTCATCTAAGTGACCTCATATTCCGCTGTGTTGACCTCACATCCCTTTAAATACCAGAACTGAATCTCCAACAACAGCAGTATTTACAAGACATAGATGTTTATATACATCTTAGAAAGAGGATGAACACAACCATCCCTGTCACAGAACAACACACCCGTAAAAACATTGAGTAAAAGACATGCAAAATGATGTCTCGCGGCTCCAAAATCACTGCCACGGAGAAGACGAGCGACACAGATCTATCATATCGATTATGGCTCTGAGCTCAGATCCATGGTACTCAGCATTCCACAGCGGTGCAGCAGCAGAATCTGATGGACAAAACGTCAGTCTCGTTGATACAGCGTGAGGAGTGAAGGGGCTGATTACGGTGGCCTGTGAGCTGGTGCTCCGCTCATCACAGCTGCTTAATTCCATTAAGAAATCACGGCGTCTCGAGTGATGTAAACGCAGCTGCTCTACGGGCACAGAAAGTATCATTAAAAAGACGATCTAAATGCCGCTCACGTAGAGGGTGAGAGAGGAAAACAAGAGGAGACTGACACAGCAGACTGCATGCAGAGGGAGAAGACGTCTTCTGTCAAACTCCCAGGGTGCGGTTCAACAAAGAGAGGAAGACAACACACTGCTGGCAAAGAAATCTGCAACAAGTGAGAGATGGTTAAAAGCTTTTGGGATTTGTTTGCGATCAAGGCTGAATTTTTTTAAACCGTGAGAGAACCACACAGGGCAAGTGAAGGCTGGCTGAGATGTGTGCCATACCTTCGGATCAAACAATGTATTCTCAATGTCATATCAGCTACACCGAACATACTTTGACAACATGACATCAAAGGTGCGATAGAAGGCTGAATCTACCTCAATACATGAGTCTATATGCCTCAGACTGAACAAGCAAACTAGAGGTTCTAATGTCAACGATAAAACCGGTTGCTTGAATGAACAGGAGATCGGATTCTGCTCTGTAGGTCAGTGCCTTCAGGAGAGCTGGCTGCCTTTGCCTCGGGCAGCTCAAAGCAGTCACTTCCCACTGGGTCAGTCCGGATGTTACAGCTGAGTGAAAGGATGTGGAAGTAATTATTAGTAAAAAAGAAAAACTTGTATTAACAAGAGTTTACAGCCTCTGTGAGGGTGTACAAGTAATATAGGCAAAGCAATAGCACATGCTCACAGTAACATTATTGTAAAGCATAATGTTAAGCACATGCACCATCATAGAATAGCGTGTTAGCATGCTAACACTTGCTAATTAGCACAAACACAAAGTACAACTGACGTTGATGGGAATATCATTAGTTTTGCAGGTTGTTCATTACCCAATTTGACTGGTTTTTGGCTGTCGCATTCTTGGTGAACGCTGAATAAGACATTTTTAGGCATACAAAAAGTTATTATTAACTTTCATGAACTGAGAACACACTATGCAAGGCTTAATATTCTAAGACAAATATACAGACAACACCGAGGCTGGACAGCGCTGTAGTAATAACCTGTCAATCATAAGGTAGCCGCGCCCTAAAACATACCCTGCTTTATGGTCTTTACTCTAAATGTGACCACAATTTACTAAAAGACCATCATGGTGTATTGAAAAAGACTTGAAACTAGCGATTTAGACCATAAACTCATGTTTACAACGTTTACTGAGGTAATGAATCACGTGAGAAGTAGGGCCATTTTGTTACGTAGTACGTAGCGATATTTCACAGTGTAAGTAAAAACTCTGACCTGCTGGTGGCGCTAGAGGAAAAGTCAGAGGGCACAATAACTGTCTGAACAAACTATCATGGGAATCCATCCAATAGTTGTAAAAACACCTTCTTTAAAGCCAAAAACTGTCAACCCATGGTGGCGCTAGATGGAAAGTCAGAGGCTCAGCAGTCAGCAGGATTCATCCTCTGAGGACCAAGATTGTACAGACAATCCAATGTTTTTAGAGATATTTCATGCTGGACCAAAGTGGTGGACGACCATACCACCCCATCTACGGAACCAAGCTGCTAACATGGCAAAAAAAATAGATATATAAACTCAACACTAGTGAAGTCAACACAACAACAGGCTTCTTTGAGAATCTGGATCAGAGAATCGTCTTCTCAAACAGAAGTCAGTGTGCATGTTAACAAAAAGGATGCCAAAGCTAGTTGTGTGTCATCTTCTCCCTGTGGCTGCCATGATGATTTCTAAAATTAATTAAGCTTTCAAAGCTGGAATGTTGAAATTATTTATCCGCTTCAAGGGGCAGGACTATAAGAAATATTACATGAAGGGGAGAGAACGTTGAGCATTAGATTATAACAAGGCAGTTTTTTTTTCTCGGTCTTCTCTGCCGTCTCCTCCCACTGGGGTCAAGCTGGACTCGTGCAGGGCCGAGGGCTGAGACAACAGCTTTGTCTCTTTCACTGTATAGACGAACAAAAGACAGAACCCTGTTTGTCCCTCATGTGCTGAGAGAAGGGGGGCGTGTGATGAAGAAGTGGGAGGGGTGCATGTCTAATTGTGCATGTGCATGTGGGGGGCAGTGCCTCTCTTGAATATTCCATATGATGAACGAGCGTCTGTCCTTTTCATAGAAAAGCGAAGGCTTGAAACGACAGACAACAACAGAGGAGCATATTCCCCGCCTGTTCGACCTAAATGGGACAAGCCTTGTTGTGCTCACTTTCACTGTATGATGAACAGAACATTTTTCAAATGATCAAAAGCAGATTTTGTATTTTTGATTTGTGTGACATTGTGACATATGATGCTATGTTATATAATGTAACAACGAATATCCTTAGTTAAAATATGTGCTTACGATTGTGTGTGTGTTCATGCACATGTGTGTATTGAGTCCTGAGGAGGAGGAGAAGAGAAAGACACAGAAGGACATACTGCAGAGACAGCGCAGGGTAATTAGTGAGGCAACATCACGTATTCTCCTCAGAATAAGTGGGCTAATTGTTCTGGTTTGTTACAGCATGTTTATAGGATTGATCCTCAACTTGTGGAACGTTTGTGTTTGCTCCAAATCTCTCATACATAAATCTTACTCTCTCAATCACCATTTTGCATGTCTACACACACACACACACACACACACACACACACACACATGCACATTGCTTGCATGTCAAAAGTTTGAAAATCTCATGAATAAAAATAAATTTCACTGACAAATTAAAGACATAGGATAAAAAAAGTTAAGTATGTTGTTTACTATTGCAAACGTTAAGCTTATTGATGCTAATGCTTAAGGATAAGACTGAAAAATATTTCCCATAATCTTCCAAATCTATCTTCCCAAATCCACAAACACTGGCTGCATTGTGTCCAATTTAGCACAGAAAATAGTATCAAAATAATTTATGGCAGATGGTGCAACAAATACTATGGTACTTCTATTTCTATTAATTAAAATAAGAAGTTACCAGGAAAATGAATCTCTGTGGGAACTGGGCGTTGTGGATGTATTTCATCAGAAACAAAGACTTTTTTTCAGAAGTGAAACCTTATTGTGGTGTATTAATTACTGTGGGAAATCTATGTGGGATGGATGGTAAAAACGCAGCTAATCTCTTGCCATAAATCTGCTGATATCACTGAGCATAACGGACAAAACAAGGTTAGCTACTCGTAACACACATAAACACTATGTTGGCTATATTCTGTACATTATACAGAATTTGACAGACAAATTTAGACTCTGCCACTGAAATGCACAAAATATCCTCATTAAAATCGTTAAATTATGGCTCCCTCGTTTAAAAGACAGATGGAAATGTTTGAGAAAAACAAACACAGCATCATGTGTGACAACTGTGTGGGTGCAGAACCAGCATGACTAACACATGCACAGATGCACAGATGTTCTACTCATAAACATGTCAATTTCCCAGAGGGCGATGCTTTGACCCTCACGCTCTGCATCACAAAATAGCTTTTTTTTAAAAATAGATTTTATCTATCGCATCACAGACCGTGTTATAGGACGACAATGTGAAATGACTATGAAGGTCTTATGAGGATAAAGACTCCTGATGTCAGATCATTATATTTTATAAAAAGCTAACCGCAATGAGTGGTTCAAAAGTAACTATGGATACAAGCCTATATAAAGCTCTGAATACCAGATTAGCTTTCTGTTGTTTTAACCTACTTTTGATAAGAGCTGCACAAAGCCTTTTATGTTGGATTGTTTACACAATTAAGCCTTCCACAACAGTTTTGTTCAGTACCCAACTTACTGTGATGGTGGCAGTGCTGAAACGTATCTTCCTCTTTGGAGGGACGTCCTCTTTGTTTTCGTGTGGCAGACCAGGGATCTCTGTCAGATCAGAGCCCGGGTCGTAGACAATATCCTCATCGTCTCCATAGAGGTCATCCTCAGGATCTGTGCAGCTCTCCCCCCAACCCTGGTAACAGGCGTCCCCGTCCGCGTTAAAAATCACCCGCTCGTTCCCAATGTATTCCTCATCAGGTTCTCCCGCCTGGTCCTTGGGAGGCTCAGAGAACTTGTCTTCTCTTGAACCATCCCCATCCCCCTGGCCTTCCCCAGCTGGTGTAGTTGGGGTCGGCAATGGCTCAGGGGTTGCATCTTCAAAAGCGTTGTCGGTAATCACAGCATCATCTGTAGGTTTTGAAGCTTTGGACACCCCTAGATCCTCAATATGTTTTCTTGTTTCTGAAGGTTTCTCCTCTTCTTCACATGAACCATTCAACTGGCTTCCGTTGGTGGTGACACCAGAAAGACGCCGCCTATCTCTGCCCATGGGCTCAACCTTGTCTGCTTTGTCTCGGGCTTCTTCCTCTTGTGGTACTGGTTTCAGCGCCGTCCCAGTCTCTGTTCTGGGACTGGCGCTCAGAAGGTCCTCAGAAGACGAGGATGTGGGACACTTCCCACCTGTCCTGCTCTGGTAGCTCCCACGAACTGGAGACTGTCTTGAATCATCTTCGCTGACGTCACCTCCAGGACGGTGGCACACGTCTGGTGAGTAGAGGGCCCGTCTGCTGACTCCTTTGTGGTGCGCGCCATGGTTGTGGTTGTCGGTATTTTCAAAAACAGCACTCAGTTGACTGACAGTTGGCGAGGACGCCTCTGTTCTGGAGCAAAGTGAGTCCAAGGAGTCTGTGCTGCCTCGATTAGACCTAGCACCTCGCCAGTCATCTAGGTGCTCATGGGAACCTCGTTTATCACGTCCGTATGGAAAGACTGGGGATTGGGACTGGTCACGTGACTGCTGCTCAAACAGCTTCCTGGTTTCAGAGAACTTTGGCCCAGCACCTCCAACCCTGTCAGCTGATAAGGAATGCTGGAGTTTTATCACTGATCCGTCGGCCTTGTTGATGAAGTTGGTGGGCTTGACCAGCTTTTGAGGCGAGGAATCATCACAAACAGTGGCCTTATCCGGCACACCTTCTGAGCCCATCTGCATGAACATGTCCTTAATGCGACTGACATGGCCGCCATACTGGCGGCCCCTTGGCTGTTTCACACGTTGTAGGTCCTTGGGCCTGGAGTCTCCATCTATCCGAGGCTGGTCAAAGGCCTTCTTAAGTGCCTGAAACTCAGCCCGGTAGGCGTTACGGTGGGGGGAGGCACTCCGGAGGCCGGTCCTCTCCCCTGAGGCCTCCGTCTTCAGCATGATGATTTCTTAAGATTCAGAGGGGATGTCAGCATCGCCGTGGCCTCATTAGAATGTAGACGTGAGGAGTCTAGTTTGACCTACCGCAACGCTGCCTTATCAGATCCACCCGTTGTTATAGTTCCTTTAGGCCCATTCATTCCTGCAGAGACAAAAAGAGGTGTTATAAAGATAGAAACATTTTGGATGATTTAGTGAGCTCAAGAGAGATAACTATTTAAATATGCACACAATAACATCACATAGACTGAAAGCGGCTCTTATAATCTAAATTATGATTACAAAGCTTGAAAAGAGATAATTTCTACCTTCCATCAATACCACTGTTCAGAAGCATGGGAGCTAAAGATGCTGATTTATGATATACAAGTCCATAGCACAAGAGGACTATGAGAGCCTATTACACTCTGATTATGTTGTTTTTTCAGTACTGCTGCACCGTTTACCTTCTCAAATCAATACTTACACATGGGTGTTTGAGCTCTTTATGTTTAAACTGGTACTGCAGGGAATATCATTTTTAATGTTTTCTTCTTCTCTTTTCTCCCTCCCACTCGCTCTGTTTTCTAGGCTGTGACCCTTGTGCGCTGCCACATCCTACAGCTCTCTCAACCATCACTGACATTATGCTGGTTCTCACTAAATGCCAGCCCTAAACAAAGCATTGCATGACATTTGCAACCTTTACAGAGAAAATGCTGTTGAATGCACCAAAAATGTGTTGATATCATTCAAAAGAGAAAAAATACTAACGATTTCAGGCACTGAAAGACTTGCATTTTACCCACAGTACTGCGTTAGAGCAGAGGAGCAGGCTAGTATGGTTTAATATTCCATAAATACAACCATTATTGTTTAATCCTGTTTGGAAATGCATTCCACAAAGAGGAAGATGAAATATGACACACACACACAGAAACATTCATCTGGGACATAGAGAATCCATTATTCTCAGTTGTGCTGAATTGGATGCAGCAGCAGCAGCAGCGGTTGAAACCCAAATGCCCTGGTTCAATATTCATTATTCACCATGCTGGACTCTTGCTGGTCCACGACAACACCTATGTGAAATCCTTGAGCAAAGACAACATCCGTTTGAACTTGACCAACATCCTATGCTGCCCCGGAGGATATATCGCACAGAGACACATAAAGTTAGAGGTTAAAGATGAAAGATGAAAACGAGGGCTTTAACATTGTGCCAGTGGGATTAGATAAACAGCCAGAGCCGCACATCAGCCCCACCGCCGCACACAACATGACAGCTCAGGTTTCCCCCTCCTGACACTGATAAAACATCTATTTACCTACATGTATTCCTCCTGTGCAGGTGTATGCATCGGCAGGAATATAAATGACGGACCTTCCTTTATGATCACCAAAAAAAAGATTAAGTTAACTGTTAACCACAAACAACAGCGACGCTGCTTCAATGTTACAAAAACAAAAGAGTCAGACTTACATTTATGGCTCGGGCTTCGTTTTGACGCGTGATGCAAATCAACTGAAATCCAGAAGGCTCAGGGAAATACAGACGCTCTCGTTGCAAAATATTGCGTAAAAAAAACATTTCTATCCCCCCACCCCCCATACCCCCCACACCCACACGCTCGTAAATTGTCCGGGGACGGAATCGCCACTACAGAAGCGTTTGTACACACTGGAGCCGCTTCAACGCCATTGCAGGCAGTGGGCGATGCTGCCAGTCGCGCTATAGGGGAGTCGGTGCAATTTGGCAGCTCGTCTCACTGAGAGCTGCACTGTGGCCGCGTTTGCAGGGGCAGGTCCGATACACGTCTGCAGTGTAGAAGAGCAAGCGTGCTAAGCTGGAATGGTAGCCGGTGATTTGCAAATGTAAAGCCTCATGTGACAGGTGCCGAAACCTTGAACTGCGGCAATGGTTTGGTCCGATAATATGCTGCGCGGAGGGGGTTTCAGTGAGCTGCAGTCTGGCACAAATACCAGCACACAGGGACTGTAACTTCACGCGTTGCTTATTGTTCATCGATGGGGTTTGGGTGGGGATGATGGAGTCAAGGACCACTCCGGCTTGTGCCGTGGGTTGTTCAAATGAAGGTGTCTCAAAGTGTGGTGTGGGGACCACCAGGGGGCCTAAAGGAGTTGATTTAAAGTTTGATTTCACTGCTCAGTTACTCATTAAAGGTCAGTCTGCTGAGAGAAATAAGGATAACTGATTTACAACATGTGCTCCTTCTTCTGTCTCATCAATCTATGCACAGATGCAACTGAGCATTAATTCAGTCTGGAGGGGGAGACATGTTTGAAGGAGACTTATTGTAGCCTCATGTAATGAAAAGAAAGTCCCTGAATATCAAAGCTGGCCACTGAAGACCATCACACACACACACACACACACACACACACACACTAAATGTGTCTCAAAAATGCTATCGTTTGCAGTCTCTCTCCCCAATTACACTGTTTGCATTAATGTTTTAACAGTCTTACAATAAAGAGGATAAGAGGGTAACAATTGCAGCTGGCTGGGTCACACGGGAGCCAACAGAAACGGCCTAAAGCACGGGACTGAATTCATGTGATAAATAACTTGAATAGAAGCTTTGTCAACGTACGAATGTGTGATTATCTTAACAAACGCCAATACGACCTAATACATGGCATTGTTGCTTACATACATACTTTGTAAGCACACATTACAATCTTTATTTTAAAAATTACATTTTAATTTAAAGGATAATCTTAATTAATTCAAATGTAATTTAGCAGATTGAAACGTGCATATTCTGCACAAATGCATATTTATGACTTTATTTGTCACTCTCTCAAATCTCATGTAAATCTCATTTATAAATGTGTGCAGTCATAAAATCTGCCAAAATATGTGAATTACATTATTATGTAACCATTTCAGTACTGAACTCACTCACAGCAGCATATTTGTTCTCTTTTTAATACAGTACATGTATTGTGAATACCAGCATCTTGAATATAAAAGATTATATGAAAGAGTGTCTTTGCCGTGAGGTGTGTTGTTTCTGCTGCACTACTAGAAACACAGACCCCCATGAGCTACAGTTTGTCCCCATTTAGCAACAGCCCTCACTTCTGAGGAGAGTGGGAAACGTTGCATTTTGTCTCACTGCTCAAATCCATGACAATAACAGTGCAATTATAGAAACTTTCTGCAGACTATACTGAAACAGAATTGGACTGATATCAATCCATATCAGTCCACATGTATCACATCAGATATCAGACACATTTGGCCGCTATATCTTCCCTCTTAAGCCAAGAGGGAATGCTGTGTTTTCCAAGTCGTCATTAATGTCAGCGCAATGCATTGAGATATAATGATTGTTGTGATACGCTCACACGCAGTCCAATCATTGGCGATGTGAAGATGTTGCTAAGCAACCTAAAAATATAATCTTATGGGGATAAAAAGGGGAGGGTGAGAGAACAGAACAGCCTCGCACTGCAGAGCTCAGAGGATGGATGGCACATGAGGAAGCCATGAATCCAGTTTCAAATACGCCTTCATCAAACAAGAGCCACGTAACGACCGCTGTCAGCGCGTTAGCCAGAATTAGGATCCCTTTTCTGCAGGATCAAAGTCCCACAGCCCTTTAGCAGGCCTGACTCGGAGCCACAGGGGCCAAAATATGACCATCTGTCTGTCTCCGCAGGGGGTCCGGACAGATTGGAGTAGACTTCTCAAACATCTCTCTGTCCTCTAACAGCTGGGCTTTTAGGAGGTCATGATCTGGTGAGGGGACAGTCTGTGTCGGGCCATGTGCGTGTGAGTAAGATGCTGAGTCTGTCTTTACTTTACACATGATTCACATTTTGGAGGCATGAGCTACAAATCATCAAGCTGATAGACTGAAAGGTAATCAAAGATGCCTAAATGTATGAATTTAGCAAAAGATGAAAAGATGCTTTCAGAGAATTACAATGTGACAGTGACATGTTATCCTAGATCAGAAATAGAGAGGTCATCAGAAAAGCAGCTTGTATATATTGTACTTGTATTCGATATACTGGCAGACTCATCCCACAGAAACATGTTCTGTAGGCGTAACGCTCCTCTTCTGAGTCACACCGTGTTTCTGCCCTGTTTTTATACTGAGACAACCATCTTTTTCCATCCAGATGTTCAGCCAATGAGAACTCGTGCGGGTTTCCAGTGAAGGAAGGGGGCGGAGGAAGGAAGGAATGCTGCAGGATGCTTATTACTATGGCTGTCAAACCCAGTGGCGATTAGAATAAAACATCCTCTTTTTTAATGCGAGGATGATGTGCACCATGTCCGCTGCAGCTGTGTCGGTGTGGCTCGGTACGGGTACGTATCGATTAAAACGGGTTAAAGATCCGGGAGTGTTGCCTTTTTATCCGTGCTAGTTAGCTAGCTAGTTAGCATGCTGCGGTGTAGCTACTGTGCTCATTCCCCCCCCCCCCCCCCCCCCCCCCCAAGAGGCTGAGGAGGAGACATGGAAAAATGGCTAACAATAGTCATCTATACCGTTATACGGGTGGAGCTCCTAACGTCACACATTCAGCGTGTTTTGTACTGTTTGTTACAGCTACAACGATGCATATAATACCGTTATACGTTGTGTTGTTACGTTTCTTAGTCATTCATTCAGCTTTAATTAACGTTACCTTTGAGAAAACAGCATAGTTCGTCTTGCACAGGCCTGTGCTTGTATGCAGACCTGCAGGTGTGTTATGAATGCCTAATTAAGTAGCTAATGCTAGTTTAGTAGCTCAGGTTAATTACCTGAGATGATATTATTACAGTGCTCCATGTGTTACTGCTGTGTATCACTGGTAACGTTGTCTGTAGGCAATATGTACCTTCAGTTGCCAGTTTATTAGGTACACATTGATAAAACTAACTCCTACCTTCATAAAGGTTGTAATGTTAGAGTTGTGATGTAAGTTAGTCATTGTAACAATTAAAAAATCAGCCTACTATCACTTTAGAAATAAAGACTCATGGTTTAGCAAGTCTAAATCAACAATTACTCTAATAATATCATAGATATTAGTTATTCTGTTTATTATTTTCTGTATTAATCCATTATTTGTTTGGTCTATAAAATGTCCAAAAAAAATTGTAATAAATGCCCATTATAATTTCCCACAGCCCAAGAAAAATATCCATGTCTTGTTTTATTTGACCAACAGTCCAAAACCAAAATATATTAAGTTCACTGTCATAAAGAAAAACATCAAGTCCTCACATTTGAGACGCTCTCAGTTTCTACATAACATACTCCCAGAAAACACGAGTTCATTCAGGCGTAACTTAACTTTTCTGTCTGCCACTGCTTCTCTATTAAGTTATTAACTCAGACTTAAATGTCTGAGCTTGGATGAACTTGAATATGAAAACATTCATGAAAGAAGACTTTGTAGTGCAGCTGAAGTACTAGAGTGCATTAAAAACACGCTTGTTCCATTCATGCTTTTGTTCATTGATCCAGTAGTTTACATTGTGCATGCCTGTGATGTCAAACACACCGCTTTTCATGAGAGAAATGCCCGTATGGAGCGATCCATGGGCTTGAGGCAGAGAACAGCCCAGTACAGAGACGGTGAGTGAGTGGGTGTGTGTGCAGTGGTGCACTTCACGTGTTGACCCGCAGTCCCCTGCCCCCCCCCCCCAGTCATAACACAGTGACACGCTTAACTGGTTCCCCATTAATACTGGCATCATTGTTTTCACTTGTCTGCCGTCCCACAGACTTGGCCCACTTACATTCGCCGTAACAGCAGTTTACCAAATTTAAATTGTGCCTTAACCCTGTCCTGACTAGAAGTAGAATTTATCCTAAATCATTAACTGTGAGACAAAAGTCTGTATCTTCTGTTTAACATGAAGCTGGTCCTTTATGGCACCGAGTCAACACTGTGGATGACAGAACGTCACAACAATCGCTTTGGACCAATGAGAGATTTACTTACCTTAATAGAGCACAAGAAGACTGAGCTGGCTGTTCCATGTCCTTAACTACAGCCCTCTGCTTGTTGTGACACTGACTACTTTCACTTCCATGTCTGCGTTCAGAACGACGAGGCTCAAACTCATCCGTGGTGGAATACCAAAGCTGCAGTCCAAACAGTAGCAATCCTTGTAGCCGGTGCTTCCCCGCTGAACACCAACGAAGCACATGCATCCTCCTGACCCGCACAACACGCACATACAAAGCTGATTCGACAGAGCTAAAGGAGAGCCCTCCCTCGCTTCTGCCTCGGCTAGCTAGAGGCCTCTTTTAGCTGGAGCCATTAGAGGGACAAGGGTGGTTTATTCTCTCTGCCCTTGCCAATGGCATTTTAAGGCATCGCTCCTGAGACTTCAGCCAGTCCAGAGTCAACCCAGAGAAGCATAAAATCTGGTTAGGCATTTCCACCTCTACCGCCTGCCAGTGATCTACGGATAAATGTGTGCGTCAGTTTTTTTATGATTATGTGTAGCTTGTTGTGTGTGTCAGCGTGCACTTGTCTGTCTTTGTCCTGCAGCGGGAGCCGACAGGTTAGTCTTCAGTAGACGGTCTAGCATTAACTTTAATTGGTGATGTATTATGTACTGTAGGAGCGCTGCAGTCCATCATCTCGAGAAGCTCTGGCAGAAAGTCAGCGCGCCGCAAATAAGCAGATCTGATGCTATTAGCAGAGCCTCGGCATAGCTTAGTTAGTGATCTTTACTCACACTGGCTGCTGTCTGAATGGAAGTGACTGCATTCAAACATAAGGCCGCCAGGAGCGTGTGTTAGGCCTAAACGCTCATTGTTGAATCAAAAGCTTTTATGTTGACAGGTCAAAACACATTTCAAATCCCATAGGTCATTTCCTATTCCTCAGACCATTAGGTGAGATCAGGCCATCTGGGCTCCTTTGTTTGTCATCACACACATGTGTATACCACATCCAGTTGGTCTCTGAGCAGAACAGAATAGCCAGTACTTGACCGTGGTGCTTTGTGCGGTGAAAGCACTGATGAGGCCCAACGGGGTTGGGTAATAGAAAAGGAGCGAGCGCATTCAGAGTGGGATTTGCAGATCGACTCAAGTCATCACCGAGTGTGAGTGGTGTGCTGAACCTGAATGAGGTTTTATTCTCAGCCCCTGAATAACCCAGGTCCTCACGTCATGGGTGCAGGTATAGAAGGTGAGAGAAGCTATGGCGTGGATTAGTCCCTTTAATCTGCTCTTAGAAGGAGACATGGTGGATATAATAACCTCAGGTTTAAGTAACACCACAATCAGCGGCCGCTACATGCTATTGATTGCATCTAGCTGTGACGGAGCCCGTGGGGATATGTGACATATGGCCAGTTCAGCGTCTCTGTTTGAGGCCACAGATGTAGCCCAGTTCAACATGCATACCGTTTTATAACACTCCCTGCAGCTCATCAGCGCGTTTAGGTTGCAGTTAGGCAATTTGGCCTTGTAGATGTGGACTTCCTTAGTAATCTGCGGCTTACTGTGTCACCTAATCTCCTGTAACCCCTTTGTGCACCCGAGTAATAGATAACGCTTAACAACCAAAGATCACATACTGACTGACTTCCTCCTTCATGGACACAGATTAGAATGTAAATCCTGCTTTATTACTCTGTTCAGCGGAGACTCTCCTTGGAAATCAGCTTCGGTTCAAAGAGAGGGACCACAGCACAGTAGAGACCCGCTATATGTTATGATACTGAAGATAGTTGTATAGGTTTGATGGATGCTAATGGGTAGATAAGGCAGGAGATAAACAACGGGGGAAATCGGCGACATTTTGCTAGAGGGAAGACACACACACACACACACAGCTTTCGCACGCTGAGCTGCTTCATGCGTCTCGAGTTATGAGTCTGCAGGCGAAAGCAGTTCAAACTCTCGCTATTTCTCATCTCCCTCCTTCTTCTCTGCCTCCTTGTTCACTCTCATGGTGATTAAAATCTGAGTGCCCACCCACTGAGGGGAAAGAGAGAGAGAGAGAGAGAGAGAGAGAGAGAGAGAGAGAGAGAGAGAGAGAGAGAGAGAAGAGAAAGGGTGGGTGGATTAAGACAAGTGGGCAAGAGAAGAGGAAAAGATGCAAAGAGAAGGAGAGGGCTTTGCTAATCACCTCCAGCCTCACATTGTGTAAACTTTTGTTAACGGGCTGCCATTTTCTCAGCGATGCCCTTCACAAATACAGACTAAATGTTTGTGTTTGAAATGGAGTGGGTCCAAACAAAGACCATAATGGAGACCGAGTGGGAGGAGGGCCTGGAAACAACTCTGCACAGTCTCATTACGGCTGATTTTACTCAGAGTACTGCGGCTCCTTGGCCCTAAAATGAATTGTCTTGCTTCAGCAGCTTGCTCTTATCATGTACAAAATAGTGGTTTTTATTAATTAGAGTTTACGCCTTCATGCTTGGCTGTTTCTGCTCTGCATCCTCATGTCAAGAGAATGCAGAAGCAACGCAGGAAAAGCTGAAAAATCTATTATTGTGGGAGGTATTGATTTGCAACACGTGAAGTAGGTTAGCAGGTGCTTGTAACACATGTTTGCTTTATTAACGCCTTCTCTTCTTTTGAAATTAGTGCTGCTGGCAGGTCGTTGATAATAAAGTTGAAAACGTTCTGCTTCCAGGAGCTAATTTTGTTCTTTTTTTTTTCTAAAAATCTGTGTTTCAGTGGTCACTATCTTGTCACGATCCCACGCAGACCGTAACGTCTACCCATCTGCAGGAGTGCTGTTCGTCCATGTTCTGGAGAGAGAGCACTTCAAAGGAGAGTTTCCTCCCTACCCCAAATCAGGTAGAGCACCGTGACATTTAAACATTCTGCACTGATTAAAAGTTTTGGCATTTGTCAAACATTTGTACGGTTACGACAGTTGGCGCAGTCATTGTATAAATGCAGCAGTGCATTGTCCATTCATCATATTTCACCAGCAGGAATAAAAGCTTATAGCTGCTGTTGGCATCACATCCACGATTCAGCTAATGGCTCTAAATGCACATTTACTGAATTGGTTCTGGACCACAACAGATCATTGGGTCACCCCTCATTGAACGTCTCTGTCCGCAGGTGAGGCCAGCAGTGACCCGATCACTTTCAACACCAACCTAATGGGCTACCCCGATAGGCCGGGCTGGCTGCGCTACATCCAGAGGACCCAGCGCAGCGACGGAGTGCTCTACGGCTCCCCCACCGCACAATATGTTGGGAATCCCTCCGTCATAGAGGTGGGTGGCTGGACCACTTTCAAAGTGAAGGGAAGGAAGAGGAAGGCATTCGTGCTTCTGTTTAATATGGCAAGGAAGGAACATGAAAGCATTCAACTAAAAGAATTTAAATGGAAGACAGTACCACACATTTGTAGTCTTCACCAAAAGGCCCACATAAAGGTAGTGGAGCAGTAACACATTTAAATTTATTTTACTTAACACAACTAATGTGTATGCAGTTAGTAGAAGCCTAGTCCAATGTTAGTCTTCAGAGTTAAATTCCATTATGTTTTTTTTGTTAAGCTACTGTAGAAATTATTTTCCCAGAAGGCTTAGCGTTCGCAGCGACGCACCCTCTTTTATGGTGTCTCAGTCGGGCACACAGCCCGCGTGGTGTATCTAGCTCAGCCTTGTCCAAAAAACTGCTGCCATATAAGCCGCACTGATCTGGGCTTAAACTTTCACCGCTGTGTGTTGCAGATTACTGCCTATAACAGACGCACTTTCGAGACCGCACGGCACAACTTGGTCATAAACATCATGGGCACAGAAGGTAAGAAGTGCCAGCGGAGGAGCTGAGAGCAAACAGGCATCAGAATGTGCAACTTCCCTGATTAAATCCCGAGGGAGGAAACCCTGCCTTTGATTACTTTTGTCAACAAGAACATATTGTCTATAGATCTAACCATGTGTACCATAAAGACAAGTATCTATTTGCTGAGGACCCAGTGTTAAGGACATTTATACTATATATATATATATATATATATATATATATATAGTATAAATACCTTAGATGGACTGAAAGATGTGTCACAGGTTGGCCATCATAAATCAGTATGATATGTTGTGGCTGTGTAAACACAGTCCTGTGTTAGTACAGTAAGTTAGGGTTATGAATTATTACGGCACATCTGCAGGAAGCAGCCGTTCCTTTGCATCTGAGTGACCTCACATCTGTGCATCTTGTATGTTTGCACAACAAGGCTTGTTGACGAGTCACGGTACACGCAGTTCAATGTGTACTGAATCGGCGGCACGCTCGGCAGATGTTCGCCGCGCGAACGTGACATCACTCTACCTTTTGCATGATGTCATCTCTGCCAACTGTGCCCCAAAAAGGGAAACCAAGTCATAACAGAGCGCAGCGAACAACAACCATGCAGCAGTAGTAAAGTATCAATGATGTCTTAGTCAGCAGGACACCACTGTAGCTGCCCCTCACGTCTTCTTCTTTCCCTCTTTCACCTCTTCTCTCTCTTCTTCATCCCTCTGCACAGAGTTCCCTCTGCCCTACCAGGCGGAGTTCTACATCAAGAACATGAACGTGGAGGAGATGCTGGCCAGCGAGGTGCTGGGTGACTTCCTGGGAGCTGTGAAGAACATATGGCAGCCTGAGCGCCTCAACGCCATAAACATCACCTCGGCGCTGGACCGTGGCGGCCGTGTGCCTCTGCCCATCAACAACCTCAAGGAAGGGTGAGGAAGGTTTGACTGGACCTGTATTGCAACGGTTGTAAATACACGGGGTGCTTTTCATGAGTAAAGATGATCCAGTTACAGCTAAATCTGACTTTAGATATAATTCCTCTTAATAACTCACACACAATAAGCATGAGGTTTAACAGCCTGAAAGATTCTTTCCATCTTCGCCTCTCTCTCTCTCAATCAAACAAATTGCTTATATTTTCAGCCCACTCACATCACGCTGACATTTTATTTAATTGGGGCCCCGGGGATCCACAGTTCGCTGTGAATTAGATGAGTTCACTTGGCCGTCAGCGCCGACAGTTACTGTCAGTTGTTCTAGTTCAGAGGGGAATAGGTAGCCCACGTGAACGGCCATAAGTTGTGCATCAGAGATTCATGCTGACGTTCTGGAAGATGAAACCATGACGAACGGTCAGTGGAGGAGAAAAGGCTTTGACTATAACAGCATAAGTGTGTAAAATGAGGCTCCATCTTCTCCTCTCCTCTCTCATGCCTTGTGCTCCACTGCCTCCTCCTCTCCCTAGAGTGTACGTGATGGTTGGCGCTGATGTTCCCTTCTCGTCGTGCCTGCGGGAGGTGGAGAGCCCACATAACCAGCTGCGCTGCAGTCAGGAAATGGAGCCCGCCATCAGCTGTGACAAGAAGTTCAGGGCTCAGTTCGACATCGATTGGTGCAAGATCTCTCTGGTGAGGGTCGTCTTGTACAGAGTTGCCTGAATTGAACGTTGCTGTAGGCAACAGGTTGAACGCGTACGCCGCTCTTCAGCAATGTTTTTCACTTAACGACGTCAATTAACTACGACTTATGTCTTCAGGTTGACATCAACAAAGTGGTCCCGGTGTACATTACCCGTCCCGACCCGGGAACCGGGATCCTGCCTGAATTTGGAGAATACAACCCCCCCTCTGAGACTCTGATGGGCCGGAACTACTTTTCAGATTTCCTAATCACACTGGCCGTTCCCTCCGCCGTGGCACTAGTCCTCTTCTTCATCCTCGGCTACACTATGTGCTGCCGACGGGAAGGGGTGTAAGTGTGCTTGGTCTTGTACTTTTTATGCAAATATTGCACCAGACACCCCCCCAAAAAAAAAACAACATTTGAGGAAAGTACAGCAGCTGTTACTTAAGTAATATGAGATCAGAATGGGAGACAGGATGGGTAGTGCAGGATATTTAGATCATAATCTGGACTGGAATTGCAGCTTGTCATCACCATCTAGTTGTACGGGTCCATTTCTATTGAGTTCCTCATGAATATCTGTGACAGCTTTTTGTTAATTCCGTCACGTACATCTTGATGTTTAGAAGCATAGCCATGCATCATTCTCCATCATTTACAGGCTGGGAGAGACGTGCCCCCTCGTTCGCTCAATGTTCCACCCCCCCCATCACCATCACCATTTCCACTCTTGTCTTTACCCAACAATCCATTCACTTGTGTGTAGATGTCTCTTTGACTATTAATATTAGTATTTAATTCATCCATTTTGTTTTGTTTCTAGGGAAAAAAGAAACATGCAAACACCAGAGTAAGTGTTTTACCTCTCCTGTGTTTTTCTTTATTTTGGGGTCTGTTTCTGCCCCCTCCCCCCTTTGGTTTGCAGTTTTGTCTTCTATGTTGTCATTGACGGCTTTCTCATAACCATTCATGTGCTCATCTGTGTGTTGACATCTGTTCATCCAATGGGCTGCTCCAAAAACTCAATGGCCAGATGTAGGTTATTAATGCTGTAGCAGTAACAACTTGTTTAAACACACATACATCTTGAAGACTAAGAACTTATCTCACACTCTAAGTCAGACGAAGTAAGGCAGTCAAAGCGATAGGTAAGGGTGGAGGTCACATTGCTGTTGTGCATGCATGAATTGAGTGCAGAGCTCACCATAGCTGATGCACATCGATTGCACATTCAAATATTTTTAAGTGTGTTACAGGTGAGACAAAGTAACACCACCGACCATGACAACACGGGCTACAATACATGTCGTCTTCACTGCCTCTCCCCTCTCCAGCATCCAGCTGGTTCACCACGGCTCCATCCAGAAGTCCAGCAAGGAGCTGCGGAGCATGTCTAAGAACCGGGAGATCTCCTGGCCCCTCTCCACCCTGCCCGTCTTCAACCCAGTGAGCGGCGAGGTGGTGCCACCCATCCACCCAGACAACTATGAGACCACCAGCATGCCCCTCATGCAGACGCAGACGTGAGTTCAGAGAGTATTTGGTCGAAGTGGAGGGAAATGCACGTGAGACAAGACATTCGTGTGCACAGGAAATGCACACATGCTCATTAGCAGGCACGCAGATGTATGGCTTATAGGCGTCATTATAGAGGGGAAATGTAAGTAAAAACAATACCATTATTGTCTGAGCTTGTTTCCATGTTTACAGCTAAAGCTGCAGCAAGCCAGCCAGTCCTTTAAAAAATAATTAAGGCCACAGCTTAAGAGGTTCAAGCTGTCCCGTGATTTTTCCTAATGGGCTTGAAAACTTAGATAAATGCTGCTAATATAAGTACAACACATGATACGAAAGGCTCTTGTAATGTATGTGAATGTCTGTTTACTATAATATCATTGTTGTTAATTTCAGGAATCTGCAAAACCAGATTACGATACCACAGCAGCGGCCATCAGGTTGGTCCTCCCTTCAACATTTCTGTAGTAGTCGAGCACCCTGAATGTGTAACGATGTGTTTAATGAATAGATATAGATATATAAATATAGACGCTCGATGTTTAAGCTATGAGTAGATATGATGGGGGTGTTCTGACAGCCACGTTGAATAAGATGACTCGATACAGACAGCAACACATTTTGGAGTCAGTTATTTTTGCTGACCTGATCTACATCACTGTAAAGACACAAGCATGCAGACCTCATTCAATTGGACTCAGATTATTGGGAGCAAATCTTTTTGCTGCGGCTCCACGAGAAGTCGGGCATGAGAGCTTTACTTCTCGTCGAGCGGCGCCTCAACGCCTTCAATTCAGGAGTTAGCGTGTGAATGGTGTTCAGCTGCATGACTGTTCAAGCACTAACCTGCTGCTCTCTCTGTTCACTGCTAACAAAGGAGATAGTTATGTCATGTCAACATTTCGAAGGCTGGAGGTAGGTGCTGCAGATAACTCATGCTGATTCACGAGGTTTTTGATGAAGTTATTTCTGCTCATCTCTTCTGCTAAAAAGGACTGACAGCTTATCAAGTCTTCAATGAGAGTACTCGCCAATAAGGTTTAATGTTGTTTTCGTATTCATTGTAGGTAAATGGTATTCCTGAGGAGAGAAAGGTGGCCGAAGCATTGGATTTGTGACCAGAGACGACGGATGTCGGACCCGAATTTGATTTCATATCTATATCTTTGTTTTTTTCTAACACTTGTGCCAATCTGCATGCCTCAGATGTGTCTTTACAAAGATTTATAGTTCATATGCATTTACACCTTGAAGAGTGAGTGTGAGATAATCAGAGTTTAGCTGATTATAAAAACATCAGAATATTTTGAAATATTTGTAAATGTTTAAGTTTGGATTTCTACTTGCTTTGCACAATGAACCTTCGAGGAAAAGTGAGTTTTACATTCAAATGCTTTAGTTGTCATGTGTTATTAATTATATGTAATGTGTCACAGGATAACAATAAATGCTTTCAAAATAAATGATTTTCACTGTAAGTGTTTTTGTCCCAAAAACAAACAAGACACTTGTAATGTCTGAATGACATGAAAAGTATATTTTTGACCAAAAAAAAGAAGCCATAAAAGCACATTTTATGAAGGTATTAACAATGTACAACAGAATAAAGGCATTTATAAATAATATGGATACATTTCACATTTTTAAGACACCACAAAAAAATGTACATGTAACATATTTCAAAGAGGCCCTCCACAGGGGTATAAATAGTTGTTGCTTTTACACGACCAAACAGATCTATTAAGGCCCGAAACAATTAGCAAATTTAGAGCTGTTGATCAGTAATAGACGAGAAAACGGAGCAGTAGACTTCACATAACGGAAACTGCAACATGGAAATGCCATTTTCATCAATACAATGAGGTGATGACTGTTATAGAAATTACAAATTTACTTCGCTCTTATTCAGAGAACAAAACCGAGGCCGCACATCATCAGATAAACGACAAGAAAGATGCGAAAAGCTGGAGACAAATTGTTCCACCGCAAAGAAGAAATTAATTCTTTGTGTATTTCTTTTAATCAGAAGCTACATAAATGTAAAAAAACAAACAAAAAAAAAACAATTCACAAAGCAATCTTTTACTAACCCCATGGTAAATGAAAGAATTATTTCATAAGCGATGTAGCTTGGATCGTATAATATACATTTGCCAAGTGACCGTGACAAAACTTTCACCTAATATAAATGTGCTAAAGTACAGAAAGTATCTGTACCGGTGGAATCTTGTTAAACATCGTATTTTACTGCAAAGATGAAAAGAAAATGCAGGTCTTAAAATGAAAGTGCTAATATCTCTTAAAATGTCTAAGGATATATATATATATATATATATATATATATATATGCAAAGAGACATCCCCTATTCCTCAGCTGACAAAATAAACTATATGTTCCTTTAAGTGACACTTATACGTCCTCTCAGCGCATCACTTAGTAGTTGTTGTAAAAGTGGACGTAGCCCTGGTGCAAAGTGCCTACAGGCTACATCACAGATGTTGTGTGTGTGGAAGCCACAGAGAGAAGATGCACGTTCGAACTCATTCAGTCTAAGAGAACGTGTGACAGCAGAGGCAGGGTGCATATTTAGCGGTTATTCCTATTGTACAATAATATGTGCAAGCTCCAGCAGTAGCTAGTGAGGCATGTTTTTAAATCGACTATGAAAGGAGGACTAAAAACACTGCTGAAGCATTGCCGTATAAAATAAAATCTCTCGCTCTGTCATACAAATATACACGGACTACAAAGTGAGCGAATAGGACAGACGAGTGTCAGACTGTAAAGGCTCAACCTTCGCTACGCGTCGCTGAGGCAAGTGATCATCTGTGAGCTGCTGGGATGGGTACGAAGTGATCCATGTAATACTTCCTTCACAAACAGCAGTCATGAGCGCACAGTACAAAATTAAACAAAGCCCCCACCCCCCCCAAAAAAACAACAACCTTGTATAAAATATAAGCTTAATTTAAATCATTAAATACTGTACATATCACATAGCATTTCAGAGCTACAGCAGGTGACCACGGTACCTTTCAGCACAAGGCAAACATTTCTAAAAATCACTCACAAAAATATGATCGAAGGACAATCCAACTTTTCAACAATTGCACTCCAAATATTCACTTTAGTCTCAACAGATTTGAGATCACCCAAGCCAGTTGTTGGTCCATATTTTGCATATTTAGATACCGACACCATTTTAAAGTCACCAGAAATACTGTACAAAAGACATTTTGATAGTAAAATGCAGCACAGTTGATTTTGTTTTTAAAGATATCTGAATATGTAGATTATGGATCCTGAGTGAAAACACCTTCATCTTCTACTGCCATGTGGACGGAGTGTGCGCCTACTGATCCCTTCCAGAGTGAGGTTATGACAGGAAGTTCTGTATGTGACAATTAACTTATTGTTTGGCTAAATAGAAGCAACGTGGCAAATATTCACACAGCAAGCACGAGGTTAAAAATGAAAACCTCTTGTTTTGTTTTACAGAAAACTCTCTGCTCTTCTGCTGAATCCAGATAATGTAAACGTTTTCGGCGTTTTGTTTTCTCTCTTGCAATTTTGCCCTGAAAGGAGCAATCCGCTTTTTTTAGCATTTTTCTTTTATTCAGTGTGCAACTTTCACAGCAGTCAAATAGTACAGACTCTGCTCTGACGTGGGGCCAGCAGAGAGACACGGTCCTCCCACGGGTCCCCGTGTTGTCACTAAACACAGTCGAGGCCGTCTCCTGTGGCCACCAGTAGGCTAAACCACCGGGCCCGCTTCTGGCTTGGATCCGGACCTAACCTCAGCAAGGGGGCTTTGCGAGTCCGTTGTGCCCCCAACCCCCCACCCCCGCCCCCACCCCCACCCCCATCGAGAGGTGTCCATCAGGCACCGGGTGTGGGCTGGCTGCCCTTGGCCAGCAGTAATACAACGAGACTGAGGAGCCCAACGGCCCCCAGTCTTTTCAGCAGGGCCATGTTGTCTTTGGGGATGACCACCTGGGCCAGATCATTGGTGATGAGAGAAATCTCATGAGCCACACAAACAAAGATGAAGGTGCTGACCATGATGTTGAGTGAAGGGTTTCCTGGGATCAGGACCAAAATACCCTTGGTGTCTGCTGCCAGCCAGATGTGGTACTGGCATATGAACAGCTGGGGGAGACAAAGCATATTCAACAGTGCAAATGTAATATGCGGTCGCCTGCAGGGAGCTACAGAACATGAGACACAGAGCTGTGAAGGACTAGTTTTTTTTTACTAGTGTTGCTTCCATCCACATTTCATTACTGTGACCTCATCTTAGCTGAATTACTCATTTCTCGTATTGTTTTATGGTACCCTTTGCAAAGCTCTTTGTATGTAGGACTACATAAAAACAAGCTTTTAATGTATGATCACAGCTTTACAGCCAGGTCATGTCTTACCTCCAAGGAGATCTTTCCAAACCATGCAAAGAATGAGCTATATACAGAGCGGGCGTAGCCGGGAATGTTCCTGATGAGAATGAAGGCCAGAATCTGAGGACAAGAGAGAAGTCAAGGAGTCATTAACACTCAAGTTAGAGTGACAGACAGTCACTATAGTAATAACAAGTTTATTACTATTAAGGAATAGTAAAAGGAACAATCGTGACCATTTTTGGGGAAATGAGCTATTGCACCACTTAGGAGTTTTTGGTTGGGGACTGGCTTTACATAATGCCAGTGCTATTTTTATCAACAAAGAAAGGCAACTCCCTTGTTGTTACACTCATAGTATCCTGTCATGTGACTAAGATAATGACATCTCAAGGCAAACTAAAACGGCATCAACTGCAAAACAACAGAAGACATGTTTTCTGTAAAACCACACCAGAAGGAAAGAAAGGAAGAAATAAAGGAGGAGGAAAAAATAAAATAACAGTTCAAAAAGAATAATACCTGGACCACAGAGATGTAAGGATGCATCTCGTTGCACTCGGTTTTGGTTTTGCAGCTGCTGGCCCATATCGAGTAGGTCTGGAGACACAACGAAAAGGATAATTTAGCACATTTTAAATCAAGAGCTGCAACAAAGACAAGCAGGTGGATAATTTAGATTATACCTAGAGCAAAACAGATGTGCTATTTACAGGATTCAGATCATTAATACAGCATCAAACAGTAATTAGCTCTGTAAAGATGTAGCGGAGTAACGTCTACTTGAGCAGAGAATGAAGCCGCTCACTGTCTGTGTGTGGTGTTATCAGACCTTCTCTTTGTTTTGTTGACATAGCTGGGTTGGCCGCGCCTGTTTTTAGTTCATGTTTGTGCATGTTAGCGTACCCCACTGGCTAGCTCAACGCGGCCGCTCTGCACTGCTCTCATACGGCGGTTACAGCTGATAACATTGTTGTGGAATCGTAGCACCAACCCTCTAGTTTCCCCGTCAGGTAAACACTGTTAGCACTTTTAACCTAGTTAGCTGCGAGCCGCTGGCTCAGCCGTCGCCATGTTAAGAGGCAATAAAAATCCTCCCATCATGTTACCTTCTGAAGAACTTTGTCAAGACATACCTACAACCATTAAGAGCAGACGATTGTGTTGGTCAAGGCCAGGTGTGACATGCATGTAGAGTAAGTAGCTGCTTTTGTCAGTATACATTTTGTTCATTTAGTAAAATAATAATAATTTGGAAAAAGGACCTGAAAGATGACCACAATCTAAAATAATAAGTCTAAAGCTCAGTACTGGCAGAAACCCAAGTGTGAAGATTCTTACTATGAAGGAGACGACGGAGAGGAAGAGGAGCAGGTTGGAAATCTTGGCAGAGAGGAGCACCTCTCCTTTGCCCTCCGTCAGCACCTGGCACTTCTGAAGCACCAGATAGAGGAAGGCAAATAACATGCCGTGTATCACCGCCTGCAAAAGAGCCATCACCACATTAAAACAATTGGTACACAGTGTGGAAAATGTGGAAAAGCTTCTGATGTAACCTGCGTTAACACATTATTCGAAATGTGATATGTCGCTAAGGCCGAGTACTAAAATGGGGTACAGCTGGAGTGAAACACATTTGACTTACAAATCGGTCCAGCTTCCATCTGAACCACCACTCGTGGATGCTTCCGTTCAGCTCAAAGAGCGCAGAGATGGGCCAAACAGAGAAGATCCGCTCAAACAAACCCTGGAGTAAAAACACAAAAACATGAAGACTGAATAAGCACGTCTAGGGAGCAAACTATGCATTTGAGTAAAAACTATGACAGAAGTTGCATATTTGGACATTTTGCTTCATTCGGGCTACAAATCCTTCATTGAAAACAATCTTGTATTTAAAAGTATGCAACATTTTCTCTCAAACTGAGCGGTGCAAAGACATAACTATTGAAAAAGTATATTGAAATCAATATAAAATCTAATTCAATTTTGAATTTAAAGTTTTACGAACTCAAAATTAAAGTGAGGTTGCAATTCTGACTGGTGAGATTAAAATATTGAAAATTCACCCACCTGTGAAAAGGCAAAAATACAGATGAACAGCAGGAGGCCCAGTAACTTCACCAAGACCCCAATGTGCCACAAGCCACTACCTGTACAGAAAACAAGACCACCATTGGTGAAAAGGTTTTTCTCAATGCTGCTAACATTTATGACAGGTATTCACAATTGATTGAACTAATCTTGTATCATGATTCACATGGTTCCAGGACTTCTTCCAAGGGTATGGCGCATGCGAGTGACACCTACCGTTGGCCTTCTTCTGAAGGATCTGAGGCCACATGGCCAGTATGGCATAGATGACGACAAACCAGAAGGTGACCAACGGGACAAAGTAATAGAACTGGTAGGGTCTGTCCATTACTACACACAGCACCAACACCAGGAAGTTTAGACGGAAAAGTACCTGGAGTGAAATGAAAACAGAAGCATGCGGATCAATCAATAACAGCATCGCACTGACAACAGTCCAAACTAAATACAAGTATTTACTTTGTATTAATAATATGATGGTATTTCATTCTAAAGTACAAAAATATTAGTAACTGTAGTCAAACTCCTAAAAGTAGATGCAGTACCGGCTCTGAAGTTAAGCAATGTACTGCTGAGGACAGGGACAGCAGCAAAATGAAATTAAGTGTACGCTATACTTACAATATTTTCACATTGCTTTGCTGTCTGCAGACTTTTTCAACTGGGAAAGCCACAAGACTCCTCGGACAAAAACAGCAATTTTACCTCTCAGAACACAGGAGTTGCTTGTTTACCGCTGACTCGATCGGTTAGGTCTGTGTTATTGCGTGACTTTGGCGAATCTGAACTAACCCTTTAAAAACACCAAAATCACAAAATAACACGGACAAACTCACTAATTGAGTCAGTGGTAGACAAGCAACTCATGTGTTCTGCGGAGCATAATGACTGTCTGGTGGCTTTGAAGAGAGCATATATGGCAGCTTCTGTTCACAGTGAAAACATTCTAAATATAGCGCAATAGAATCACTGATAATGATTATTTTAAGTGGCTAATATAAGTTTTGCTGCTGCCCCCGTCCACAGCACAGCACTATGGATCACTATGCCTATAGGTCTCTTCTATAAAATAGGTTTACTAAGATAAAGAGTGATTGCCTGTCCTAGTTAAATTATAACCGACTGTATCCTCACCTGGCACACTCTATACAGTCCAAAGTCTCCTTTAAGCCAGAAAAAGGAAAAGTGTCCATAGCCGGTCTGAAAGAGGTACGCTGCCACCAGCACCCGCACGTGCATGTACACTGGAATGAACTGAAAGAGAGAAGAAAAAACAAATGTTCTCTGCCTTTACATCACATATAAATGTACAGTGCTTCAAAGCCGGTTACTCTCAAATGTATGTGCGATGACGTAATTACTGTGGCACTCACAGCGCTGGCTCCAGATATGTGATAGATGAGGATGACCAACTGCATCCAGCCTTTCCACTCGTCTGTTTGCTCACGGTTGAGTAATTTGGTCTGTTTGGAAAAAAAAAGGCAATGACGTATTGAATTATAAGACAGATATTAATCGTTTAAACTTGGTGCATCTTTACCAACAGCAAGGGCAATCTAATTTTTGGGGAACATTACTACGGTATGTTCTCCTACCTTAAAAACTCACGGACACCTTTCTTGTGTTTTACAAACAGTTAAAAGGTTCGTTAAACTCAGGGCTTTTAGGGAAATTAGACTTTATAATAATGTCAATCATAACAGACGGAACAATTAGAATAGAAAGACATCCAGCAATCAACCAAACTGGTCAAAGCTCACCATACCTTCAAACTACATCACACAGCTGATGGATACATTTGTCTTGTAGACAGATACAAATTTAAAATTACATAAAACATATTTTTTTTCACTGGACTTAATATTATGCTGAAGTGAGACCGTGTTGTTCTGCAAGTCTGCTTCCCCAAAATAAAAGAAACATTGCGTTCAACAGTGCCATCTCACCTCCTTGGTGTTCTCATTGTAGAACACTCCCAGGACAAACATATAGATAAGAGGGATGAAGAACGTGGAGTGAGTGTAGAACTTCTGCTCCTTCATGAACACGTCCGCTCTGTCACAAAGGTAGAAATAGCTCATGATGACGCCCATCCTGCAGAGGGCCTGGAACGGCGCCTTTGGACCCAGAGGGGCAGCGGCGGTCGCCGGCTTCTTCTCCTCCAGGCTCTCTACGTCTGGAGGCACGGGTCGGCGGTGGCGGTTCTTGCCGAGGACGTGCAAGACCAGGAAGACCACGCCCGAGCCCAGGAAGAAACATAACGACAGCTTCTGCAGGAGGTTCGGGGGTGGCAACGTCTGGCAGCAGGAGCCATCGATGGGCCTCAGTAGCTTGTTGCACAGAGAGTTCATGAGGACCATGGCTCCCTAACAGGAGGATCACACAGGGTGGTAGTGGTGAGTGAGGTAAAGTCATCCCTTACTACCAACAACACACTATAAATAACATACTCTAGTACAAGTCAAATTTAAGTAAATAATAGGCAGCAGAATGGCCCCTGTCCCTGTTTTCTATTATTGGATCGGTATTATAGATACATTCATGTGTAAGAAGCATTTTATTGTTGTAGTTAGTCGTCAAGGTGAAGCTAATTTAACTGCTTTATATACTGCTTGGTGGTTTGGTTGCCATCATTTGCAACAGCTGTTTAACATGTAAAAAGTAGGGACTACAAACAGCAAAACGTGCACCCCAAAATAATATATTTGTAATATTTGTTGCATTAGTGATATTTAAATATTGCTGTTACAACAGACACCGCTGCACATGAATTGGTGCATTTACTGGCAAGCCCAAAGGCATCTGTTTCAGAGACATTTGCGAGGCAAATGAAGTTGTTTGACTGTAGGCAAAACTTTGAACGGGACATTTGTGAAGTCCTGGGAGGCAAAGTATCACGCCATCTTTGAGCTGGACTGCAAAGCATGTACAACATACACACGACATGTGTCACGTTTCATTATTAAGCCAGCGTTAAACTGCATAATATCTTAAATCACTCAAAATATAAAAGGTGACCAAATCAGCAAGCAGAAGCTGATGCCATTTAAAAAAAAAAAGTAATTAGGCTCAACATGAACTCCAGGATACCTAAAAACAATTGACAGGACAGAAACTGACTCTCCTGAGAAGACATACAGCACACTTTAGAAAGAGCTGAACAGGTGGAGAGTACTCAGATATTTTACTACATTTAAAGAAGCAATACCACAATGTGGAAATACTCTGTCACAAGTAAAAGCAGGGTTGAGCAATACTTCAATACGATGATTCAAGTTTTACCAGGCGGTTATTTCACAAAGACACACTACCACTACATTTAATGAACTACCAGAAAACATGCTATATTGTGATAGATATTGTTGTGATATGAAAAGATATATCGTGATGGCAGATTTTGTCGCCTCGCTCTAATTCAAAATCCTGCATTCAAAATTCTACTTAAAAGTAAAAAAGTATTAACATCATAATACACTCAAACTATCAAAAGTGAAATAACCTATTTGCAAAATGTCCTATTTCAGAATTTCCGCTTATTGTACTTATGGGTTTGTAGTACAATAAGCTCAACTGTCAAGATATTTTTTTACACATGTAGAGGAACACCTTCTCCACTGTCACAACGTATTTGGAATCAATCTGAGCTTGTATTATGAAATTACATGAGTTTGGGTGCATCATCCCCCATTCGTTGTGCTTTGTTCTACTCCCGGTAGGGACATCTCAAAAACTAAAGCACTTTGGGAGGTCTTCCCTCTAGCCAGTCATGGCCAAGAGTGTATCAAGACCGAGACAATACCAAGACCAAGGCAGGGCGAGACCTTCAAAAGGTGGTCTTGAGATCAAGCCTGATCTCGAGTACAACACTACCTCTAGTCTAGATGAACAGATTTGAGTAATAATGCAAGGACTGCACTGTCACAATAGCTGAAACCAAACCATTGAACGGAACAATCTAAAAGCCACCAAATAACCTTAAATGAACAGAAATCCTGCCTACCACATTCCTGGTGCTCTCGGGCAGGTGCAAGCCGTCGTCCGACTGGCCGATCGTTTCCAGTGCAGCCTGGCGGGACGCGGCCAACAGCTTGACCCGGGACCTGCCGTTGCGCTTGCTGCCGTTGAGCACGTCCACCGCCGCCTCGTTGTACAGCTCCAGCTGTTGATTGGTGATCATCTTCCTGTTCTCACTCAACACCGCCTCATTAACTGGGTCTAGACAGACGGAGGTGTGATGGCGATTTGGTTTAGAGGGTGCATGCACGAGACGTTGATATTCACACAATCCTAAAATCGTGCTTGAAATGCACAATTATGTTAACTTTTTGGTCAAAAATACTACTTGGGACATTAGGATTTAGTGATGACACTGCAGCACCTAACCACTATAACTGCGTAAACAATGCTATGAACCATGGAGTCGTTTTAATGGTAATGCAGTTTGACACGAGTGCAGTGATCACATCAGAAACTTGTCACTGTGGTGGAGGGGATAAGCAGCTTGAAGGTGAGTTTACCTTGCAGGGCCCAATAGACCTCTGCATGGTCAGCCAGCTTCTCCAGGTGAGCAGCAATGGCTGTCAGGTTGACTTTGTACTGCTGCAGCGTCTCGCTGCTGCCACTGTGCAACTTGATGGACCACTGTGGGAAATGGATTCATGGATGGGATTAAGATTGACAGAACTCAGCCACCACCCTGTTGTGAAATGGGCAAGCATTGCTCAACACTAATTTATACAGCTTACTGTTGCAGCACCAAGGATGACAACATCTGGCTTTCCTGAACCTTCCTGCAACACACGAGACGTTACAATCAGTAAAGTAAATGTCTTAACCATGAGACAATGTCAGGTTTATGAAACTTCCTCTATTACTAATGGTCCTTACTTTAACTTAACGTTTATACTCACGTTTGTCCATGATATCAAGCGCTCCTTCATTGAATTATTTGCCTCTGGATACCACAGAAAGTCCTACACACAAAGAGTATGTAGATGTTTTATCAGGGAATGCTTTTACAGACTGAGAAAAAGAGATAAAAACACATCCATAAATAGCTCACCACATTGACAGAGGAACTCGCCGCTTCAAAGGAAATGTCCTCGTGCTTCAGACATTACGTGTGGATGGACAGAGAGAAAGTCTGTTAGGCAAATAGCGTTCCTCTTTTTTCCCTCCTTGAGATCAGACCAAAAATAGTTACAGCGGCTGAATGATTGCAGTGCATTCCAGTGCTGCATTTTGCATTATGTTGTATTTTTGGTTACAGTACATTTTCTCAATGCTACCCATTTCAGGGTTTCCTGCAGGTGCAGATATTCAATGAAATCACATCTATATAGATGTGTAGTGTGAAGAAAAGACTGTTTAGGGTAAATGGAGGAATATATTTTTAATGTCTGCACTTGATTTGTACACAGGTGTGCTTCACATCTGTAGATCTTTATGCCATACATCATCAAATCTTGCCACCTCTGCTGAACAATTTCTAAAGACAAACCCTGGGTTTACCCGGTGCTTCTTCTCATAGTTACCTTGTTTCCATCTTCTCTTTGCTCAGGGTCGATAATTTTGATGAAGGAGTAAAAGAGCTGCCTGATTCGTGAATCACCGACAAAGGCCACTCGCTTTTCAGCAAGGCAGGTTTTGGCTTCACTGTAGGACAAAAATGACAGTGAGGAATCTGCAAACCCCAACAACTGCAGAGAACAACCAGTCATGTGTTGGGTGGTTCACTGCATTTTCTAACCTCATTAAAAGCAGGTCTTATCACTCCTCCACCCTTACAGACACTCATAGACAGAAACACCCAATGTACACACACGTGACATTGCAGTTACTTTAACTCACATGCTTTTGTATTTGTGCATCATGCAGCCGTACGGCTGCCATATGTTCTCCCCCAAGTAACGTCCTCTGGACAGCAGCCGTTCACATGAGTCTCCGCCTGGAGGAAAGACACAGGAACCCCCCCCCCCCAGTAAGACCAAACAAGAAAAGACACCGCTCTTGCTTTCACACATAGCTTCTCTGTGACTGAAACCTGCTGTCTCAATGGCACCCTTACTTTTCATTCAGTGCTGTCAAAAGACTAGTATACAATACAGGGCTCTGCTAGGGGCCATAGTACAACATAAAGCCATCAGCAATTCAAGCTCAACCTTGAATCTCTTCAGCTATTCATTTGTGTGCAAAATGAATGGAGCCATCAGCAACTGAGTCAATCCATAAAAACATTAAGGATCTGCGGGCTGACAAGGCAGCTGCTCCACGTACACACACACACACACACACACACACACACACACAGAGGTCTGTGGATCCTTTTCATGAACAAAGTCCACTCTAAGATGGGCGTTGTGTATAACATTCTGATATTTAATAATAATTAAACTCTGGGATTTGTGCCATCGCTGTCATGAATATTTAAGGCTGTGGGACAAGATAAATGAGATCCAGCGTGTTGACAATGTGCGTCTTTGATCGATGCAGCTGCAGTAACTAATCTTTAAACGAGGAGCCAAAGCAAACTTATCAAAGACCCGAGACATGAAGCAGGCTGCTACGATGCTGTTCAAAACTACTAAAGTTTGTTAGTGTTACTACACCAAAATTACTGCCGAGCTGTATTGATAATCTAGCATGCAACTTACTTGCCATTTAAATAGCAACTCATTATAGACTACTTAAAAACGTCTTTATGTCAGCTGCTAGCTGCATCAACCTACATCGTACATAACCAAGCGTGTCCTGACAGGAGCATATCAACACAGCTACATGCAGTGTTAGCTTTGCTCAACTAAGCTAGCCACACAAAGCCGATTTAAGTTCGTGCAGTTAGGCTAACCGTCGGGGGAATTGTGTCAATATATGCAGCCACCTATTTGAATTGTCTAAAGCATGCAACCCGTGACGTTATGCCTCACATTTTAAAAGTAAACACCGGATAACGGTACTGTACCGACCCGCAAAGTGAAGCGCTCGCGGACACAAACAAGCTAGCTGTAGCTAGCTGGCATTAGCTAGTAGCTGGTTGCTCTGGCGTTAGCTGCACCAACAGTACACTTCAATAAAAAGGGAGACCACTTACCGCCATAGTACCGCGAAGCTGTGTGAAACACCAGGAGTAAAATGACGAGTACCAGCGATATCAGTTTGGCGTTTTTGATGGTGAAATGATGGTTTATCTCTCGTTTGCCCAGGCTATAGGCCAGGACCGCCATCTTTGCTCCTCCATGACAACAAGCACCTGTGCGGTCTAACAGCGGCACTCCTCCCTGTGCGCCATCCGCCGGGTCTGCGTTTTGCGACACCACCTCCTGCTTCTCCATCACCACTGGTTGTAGCAGGTGCAGATCAAAAATAAGTAGAAATACATAAAATAGAGTGTCCCAGTTCACAGACCGGTGTAAAAGTTCGGTGCCTTCAAGCAAGAGTTTGAAAACCAAACTTGAAGATTTGCGTAATTACGCACCGTCGGGAGTTGTGTGAATCTTCTGTACGAGCGCAAAAAAGTATTAAGACATGTCAGTCTGTAGAGAGCTTAATGCATTACCACATTCCACACAGATGGAATGTATTTAAAGTAGTCATCAGGTGACTTGCTGAACCTGTTTGGAGCTGAAAGAGCGTTGTGAGTTACATCAGCTGTGTGTTTACTCTCCGATCAAAGTATACCTAAATCTTGTGGAGCTGAATATGTTGGCACTTTAGCTCAGGATTTACTGTATCATGCACTGACTTCCAGGACAGTGATTTCTTTTAACTCCCCTGAATAAAGACAAACATATATGGCTTGAGTTTAAAAATTGTAGTATTTTTCTAACTATTTATGGAAAATGATCAACGTCAGGCCCATGTTGGAGTGGAGGGGGAGCTGTGCCAAGTATTTATACTGTAGATCAGCTCCTGCTGTCCACCGATAAAGTTCATATGAAATACTCTGGTTATTGTGTTTGAAGGAAGTGCTGAAATATTCTATGCTGCTTGACATGCATTTCTTCTCCTTCACCTGCTTGACTTGCATTTCTTCTCCTTCACCTGCTTGATTTGCATTTCTTCTCCTTTACCTTCACTTGTATTTCTTCATCAGACAAAGGCCACATTTATGTGTACATAAGATAATAAACCTATAATTACCACTCTGCTGTGCAAACCTGGTGTAGTAAGCATCTGTAAATGCTCAGTAATACTGTAAATAAGCAGGTCTGGACTGAGTCAGAGGGGGAGTTAAAGGAGTACTCAGATCCTTTATTTAAATAAAAGTATAGCCATACTGCAGTGTAAAAAACTGCATTCAAAATGTTACTTAAGAAAGCAAAATGTACTTAAAGTATAGTGAAAGCACCTATGTATTCTGCATGATGTTATTTAATTATGATTACTGATTCATTTTCATGTAAGCAGGACTTGAATGTTGTATTTGGTCAAGAAAGAGTTAATAGTGACGACAATCATACTGTTGAGCAAGGCTGGATTACTAACAGAGGACATCTGCCCTAGACCCCCTGCAGCCCCAGGTTCACTGTGTGCCAATGGGTTGTATGTAATTTGATTAACTTCAAATTTTGATGAGGAATTTGTACCACTAAAGTACAATATCAACCCAGGGGAGTAATACATTATTACCTAATAATTGTGACCCTGTCTTGAAGAGTTCCCCTGTGTTAAAGTATATTTTTTATTAAAAATCATTTCAGTCTATTCTGAATAAAGATGTATTTATTACGGTTTAGAAAACCTCCAACCAGTTGGTCTGGTAGCATTGGCAATTATATGTCAAAAGAAAAAATCGAACCAGCTGTAAGAGAAATGTAGTGAAGAGGAAACAAAAGTAAAAAAGTAGAATATGGCCCTCTTTTCATATTTTCAATTTTTCAATTGTGTCCTCTGTTGCACTGTGTTTATTGTCTCGAACCAATCGCTCAGCCAAATTCCTTGTATGTGCAAATGTAGACTTAGCAATAAACCGTTTCTGATTCTGATTCTGAAATGTAGTAATAGTAGTAGTAGGTAGAATGAAATGTGGAGTAAATGTATCTCAAAATCTCACTTCAAAAGTGTCACTTTAGCCAAGTCATTTTAATTAATGTAATGTAAAAAGAAATGCATAGTATGTTTGTAGCCGGATGTCTGTGTGATTAAAGGTTCTATCTGTGGTTTATTATCATAAGGGTTATGCATATCAGATACTGTAGACCCGTTGTTGCAACATGCATCCCAGTCTTTGCTGCTCCGTGGTCAAACTCTGTAATACTCTGTCAGTGAAACGTCTATTAGATAGAATACATTGCACGTCTAGCAGAGATGCGAATAAAAAATCCCATACTGCACTCTAGTGGTTATAGAAAGTGATGCACGTGACTTTTTATGTATTGATGCCTTTATCTTTAGCTGAATACAACTGCTTCTTCATGAGGAGGTATAATTAAATCCACTTTTTCAGAAAGCTTGCATAGCCCGGTTCCCTTAACACACTGAACTCAGCCTCTGACAAGGTGACAAAACAAGTCATTTCTGCAGGAATGCCATGTCCCCACATTGGTGTGCATTTATCACTGCAATTCATGCCTTGATCCAAACCACAGAAATTTATTTGGATGCAAAAGCTGTATTATGCAAGGAAAAGCAACATCAGAAGATGCATATTTACAAGACAAAATGCACGTTAGTAATCACACATTGGCATGGACAGTGTCAACAGAAATTTACTGTACATTAAATTCGGATGTACTGTTGAAAAGCATGAAAGAGGGGGAAAGTAAATAAGATATGGCTGTGCTTCCACAGTCGGAGGATGTTTAAGTTCTTGATGATTTGCTACCATCAGCCAAACTAGAACCAAAATACAGTGACAAACCTTCAATGGTGTCATTAAAACACGAAAGCACTTAAGTCACTGAGTTGTCTGTTTTGGAACATTGGACATGCTTTATTTCAGAACTTTTCACAATTTATTTAAACATCTCACATATACAAAATAGGTACAATAGACTTTGTGATTTCATTTTTTTAGAGAGAAAGAGGCCGCCTAAAAACCATTCAGAATTGGATGAAATATGTGCTGTCAGTATGAACACTCGGTGTGGGGTTTTGAGTAAAAAAAGCCTGAACAAAAAACCAAAACAAAAAAACAACCTTCTAGACAAAACAAAAAAAAAGAGCAAAACAAAATGAAACAAAACAAAAACCAGACATCAGATTTAGAAACATTCCACCTGCTTAAAGTGGGGGAGCATCAGGGGACGAATGCAGGACTCCTCAAATGTCAATACAAAGTAATACAGTAAAAGTGGTTAGCTCCACAGCTGCATATTAGCACCATAGATCTCTGCTTCAAGTAACTGAGCACCTTCCGATACAGCTTGAAGCATTAGAAGTCTTAACATCTCGGTTGTGGACCCAGGTTTTGTCAAAAGTATTTTCTTTAGGTACAGGCATGAGGTAGCTTAAACCTTTTTTTCATGGAAATTGTGGTTTTAAACCTCCTCTTTGGAAGATATACAAAGACCACAAAGTGATGCATACTTTCAGCGTTTTTATTACACTTCTTTTATTTTTTACAAAAGGATGACATGATGTCCCACAACAAGCTGTTTTCCCACGTCCCTTTGGGTTGCTGTATTAATTTGCATTGCACAAACGCTCCCTTCAGTCCATTCAGTCCTCTCAGATAGTTGCCCATCTTAAGCAAGTGGATTCGCAGAGAGAAATCAGCATTCAGTATAAAAAAACAACACAGAAAGAAGGGCAGAGATTTTGTTTTTTCGTTCTTTCTCTCTTTTTGGTGTTTAATTTATCATGAGTCTATTTATTTGAAACAGACTGGGCCAATGTCCAAACCAAACTCCTGATCAGCTCCACCAATGTCCAAAGGTGCAATGTCGAGGATGGGCAGGCGAGATGGTTTATTTGTTCTGTACTCAATCACTGTCTTGCTCCACTCACCAGTGTGTCTCTGCAGGTGCAAAGGAAGAAAAAGAGGGACCAAATGTTAGAATAGTGTCAAAATAATACAAATCACACAGCTGTGAAACAAATTAGCTCTGTCTCGTGACACCAAAAACTGCCTTAATGTAGTAGTTTGCAAACAGAGTAATTTATTTCTCATGAGGAAGAATGAACCTGAAGCGGTGAAGGTAACAGTAAAGACCAAAGAGCAACTCACAGTGCAGCCATCCTCAAGCACGGAGAAGGTGAAGCGGCTGTTGCCCTCGGCTCTCAGCTCAACATCGTTGGAGCCCTGGATCACGACAGCCTTCTTCAGGTTACCGGTCTCATCACTCATGTAGGCGTTGCTGTTCTTGCAGTGGTAGGTGATGTTCTGGCTAGCCTGGTTGGACAGCAGGCGCATGAAGGCAAGCTGGGTGGCCATGCTCTGGGGGCTGAGGGTCGCATCGTTGTAGGTAAACTGCACGAAGGAAAGAATAAGAAATATTACATCTGTTGTTGCTGTTATTTCCGGGTCTTGTGTGCTTGTGTGGTGTTTAAACCCCTTTTGTTTAAAATAAAGTAAAACATGTTTCCTCTCTGTGGACGCTCACCTCAGTACCACCGTTGATGGTCTCTCCGAACCAGACGTGCTTCTTGCCCTCGGTGCTTCTGAACCAGTTCTTGCGAGCGATGCTCTCGGGGTGGGCGTGGATGCAGGTCTCACGGGTGGTGAAGTCGCAGAAGACCTTGATGGCGTCATTGATGCATCCCTGGTTGGGGTCAATCCAGTAGAATCCTACAGGGCAGGAAAAAGAGTGTTTTACTCTACTACATATGGGCTCCAAAAGACATCTTAACCGTACTAAATGTAAGCGGTATCTGCCCCACAGTGCTGTCGGATTAAGTTGAGCTTACCGTTGCTCCATTCGGGGTGGCTGAGCTTGATGTCACGGCAGGTGCGGGCAGGGTTCTTCCTGGATCCCTCAGGGGTGAGCATGTTCTCGATCTGAGTGTTGAGGGACTTGATGGTGGCATCGACCTCGTAGTCCTTGGCTCTCAGAGAGGGCTGATCGGCTCTGTACTCATCGTATCCAGAGACATCATATCCACCACCAGCGGGGCCAGGAGGTCCGGCCAGACCGGGAGATCCAGCAGGACCCTGATATGGATAAATGAGAGGATTGATATGTGTATCACAGTAGCAGTTGTCAACTGTCAGGTTTACAAAACTCTAGATGTGCTTACAGCAGGTCCAACGTATCCAGGGGGTCCACGAACACCAGGAGAGCCAAGGGTTCCATGGCCGCCGGCTCTGCCATCCTTACCAGGGGGTCCGTGGGGTCCAGCAGGTCCCTGAAGAGGAGGTCATCACATGACACAGTCAAACATTCGTCTTTTTACATTACTATATCTCCTGTATTTGTTGTTTTAGTGATCACCAAAATAACACAATGCAACAGAGAATAGTGATAGTTATTAATGTCATGTCACCTTTAGAAATGTTACTAGCTCTGAATGTGGTTCATCACATTACAATAAACACTCCTTGATACTCTCTCTGCCATGGTATCTGCCACACTGGCCTTAACTAGCTCTGCTAATTACTAGCTCACATACAAGCCTTTGATTTGAGGACATGGTGCCTCTATGG